TGTGTGTGTGTGTGTGTGTGTGTGTGTGTGTGTGAGAGAGTGTGAGAGAGAGAGAGAGAGAGAGAGAGGGGGAAGGTTCAGGCGGAGTTCAGGTTATTTACATCTTAGCATGTAGAGTTTCAGTATATGGAGCATATGTGTGTGTCTCTGTGTGTGGGTGTGTGTGTGTGTGTGTGTGTGTGTGTGTGTGTGTGTGTGTGTGTGTGTGTGTGTGTGTGTGTGTGTGTGTGTGTCACAGCAGCAGAATCTTAACACTCACCATGAAAAAGAAGACAGAAAAGGGGAGAGAGAATTAGAAGGAAGGAAATATGAGTAAATACAGTGCAGCAATGAAGACAATGCTGAGAAAAAAATCTTTAAGGAAGGTAGGTCAGGGGAGAAAACTCACTAACAGCTCTGTTATTTCCAGCAGAGATGTGATACTGCAATCTTATTCCTCTACACACTTTCAGAAAGTAAGGTATAGAGTGAAAGCACATCCCAAGCAGCAAAATGTACAACTGCACCTTTTTGGTCTATTGCATAATTCTCTCTCGAGTCAGTGGCCTTGTGGTCAAGTTCATTTTTATTTTGAACGACTGTTTTGAATTATTGCTAGATACTGGTATGCCTGGGTTCATTTGAATTATATTGAAATTAAATAAGTCAACACAGAAAGTGAAATGCTACAGCATAAAGTTCAGATAATGTGATAATCTTTCAAATACATATTTAGTATTCTCATTTTCCGTTATTTCACATTGTTTGATTTGAAGTTTAGTCATAGTTGTCGCACTAAATACATTTTAATTCCTGTCCTGATAGTTTCGATAACATCTTAATAACACAAAAAGCTGCTGTTAACAATAACATGAATAGACTACTTTCTATAATTATAACAAACTATGATCAAATATCTCATGCATGGTCAAGTTAATCAGCATGTGTGTGCAAACACACAACATGATCTAAATCCAGGAAATAACCATTAATCACCTGTGTACTTTTAAGCCTTTATGGTATCTCAGGGAATTAAAGGAGAACCAAATCGAGAAAATAGTGCATTATAATAGCTGGAGAAGTAAGTGGAAAATACAAGCACTAGGTTGGGTGGAAAAGCCTCCTGTTTTATTATATTAGACTGTGAGATTATGCTGGCTACATCCAACAGATATTTATTTATTTGATCCATCCCACAAATACCTGCTTGTTCATGATGAGAGGATCTTTGGGTATGAAAAAATGCTTTCCTACAATTCACTGGGACATGTTTTAACCTGGACTCATAATGTTATGAAGGCTGCGATAGGAAACCAGAGGATAAGAGGTGTAAGTAGAGGAGTCATTGAACTTTAGGTGGAGCCAGTAACAAAGAGGAGAAAGGAGTAATAGAGGAAGATGGAGATGAATGAGCAAGAAAGTTTACAAAAAACTTTAAAGCAACTCCTTTTGAATATGTCGTTAATCAAGGTTTTTCGGTGAAAATAGTCTATTCTATTGAAAGCACATTGTTGGACACTCAAAACAAGTGTGATAATTTTTCCCCTGTAATTCTTTTCAGACAAAAACATAATATTATAATATACTAATTCTAAGATCATAAAAGCAACTGATGATGTCCAGCAAAATATTTCACAAAAATGTGCAACAGATGAGGATTATCCTATAATAAAACACACACATTATATAGTCTGCAACCTACACATGTGGACAAATGTAAATTCTGAATGAGTCAAACTAAAAACGTAAGTTGGACACGTTCAATCTGCCGCGAAATAATGAAAAATATGCTCTGACATTAGTTAATGACATTGAGATTGCGTTTCAGTTTTTAACTAATAATATGAAAGTAAAAATGACCCCGGTCCTGCTGTGATAATTACCTGTTAATACAGCTCATATAGAAAAAAACGATTGGTCCCAAAGAAAGAATGTTTCAGGGTGCAAGCCTTTTTATTTTTATTGTATCGGCTACATGTACCCACTAGCCAGCCAGGGAAGACAAACGTTGGTTGAAGGAAATGGAGAGAGAGAGAGTAATGCAGGATATAGATTGCTGCAGTGGATATTGCAGAATGTGCTCAGCAGGGCAGAATTAGTCTATCAAGTAGCATAAGATAAAAATACCACACAGATAATGCATGGCCCAGGCTAACTGCATCAGAGCACCACAAAGCATCTTAAACGTCCCATGTCATGCTTTTCCAGTTATTACCCGTCCCTTTGTGTGTTATGAAGGTTCTTCTGCATGTAAACAGTCTGCAAAGTCACAAACCCTCAAAGTACACCCTGTAGCGAGTAAAACTCTAACACAGAAAATACCTGTATGCTGGCGTGCCTACACTGTAGGTGCGCCGCGTTTGGGCGTGCAGGGACGGGGACGGGGATGGGGGACTCCACGGAGAAAGCAGGAAATGAACCCAGCTCACACTGTCCGCTCCTCGCAGCAGCGAGTCACGCAACGTCCCGCCAACACGGCACCCAGACCCCACGCAGCATTCTCATCAGTTTGTCATTGCTGGTGTCATTTTCTGGTTGCTAACTCCATTGTAACACATAATCACAACCTCAGCTGAATCCTGGCCACCCTATTGGCCACCCCAAACACCCTCAGATACCTCATTCACACCAACGCAACTCCGGTTCAAGCTCCGTGCTAGAGCTTTTTAGGTTCAGAACCGGTTCTTCGGTTTAGCTCCGGCTCTTTTCACACTACCCAGAGTCCGACTGGTGCTGCATCATTGCGTCATCGTTTGCGTCATGACGTAACCGTTAGCGTGCCTCTATTGTGGACTGTTCATACATGCCGTTGAATATATGCGCGAATCCATTGACACATCACTTGTGTATTTTAGCCGTGCCTTTGACACTACATTACACAGCCCAAACCTACTTGGCAAACTTATTCACATATTTTAAATTGCTATTATAGCATTGTTGTGTTATTTTTGTAAGTACGGGGTAGATTTGACCCTGATCGTACCGTGCCCGAGCAGCCCTCGAGTCCCTCGAGCTGACATCTCTCCGCGTGCATCCGCGTGCCTTCGTCTAGCACCGGACCAGTTTAGAGACCTAGAAACCGGACATCCTCTCATCAACAACAATTGGGCGTAGCCTCGTTGGGGTTCGCTTGTTTGGGCCTGGCCAGCTTTCCCTCTGGAGACGACGGAACTGCGATTGGTCTAAAGCCCTTCTCTGTCGTTTTGAAGCCAGGGACGAGAAAGGAGACCCATGAGAAGATCATTACGACAAGAGACAGAGAGAGAACTCAAAAGGATCTAGAGAGATCTACTGTTTCCATGTATTTCAGTTTGGGACCTTAGAGAGACTTGATCATTCAATAACAATTAAGGCTGACTAGCTACTATGGTAGAAACTTACGTTTTGAACATAAATATTTCTCTCACAATACGCCAAAGTATAGCTGGCATTAACGCCAGACACATTAACGGGGAAATTCAACAAAAAATACCTTGATATTAGTAAGCTTGTAAAAGTATTAGGGCACTTGATCTCAGTTTGTCTGCTGCCTCTAGAATGTATATATTCCTGTCAGGAATGTCTATCTCTATGTCTCATGTATGTCAGTCAGTAAGTTTCTGCAGTGGGTTTGCTGTCTGATCCCGCCCCTGGCCCCTGCCCGCCCGCCTCGACGTAAGCGTCGACGTATGTGGGTGCTGTTTGCTCTGGGCCGCAACTTTTTTGGTTGCTTGAAACGAACACGGACATTCCGGAGCTAAGAGGCTGCTCCAGCCGCGCGTGTTGAAAAGGAACAAACATCTGTGCCTTTCAAGCATCAGCAGCTCGCCGAACCGGCCCCTAAAACACAGTTGGGTGTGAATGAGAGACCCAAGGGGCCCAAAACAATTTTAGAACATTAAGAAGAAAAAATGTTTAAGTAACCTTTGCATCTTCATCCAAGAATTAAGCAATTAATAAGGCACGTATAATATGCCGATACATGTAATCAGCTAAAGCTTACGCATTCATTGAACTTCTTGTTCTTCCCAAAAGTTAATTATGCCACTTTCTGGGCAGAGAGTGAGACGGGCATGTAGGAGCAGGGATGGGTATGTACTTAGTGTGAAGCGAGCTT